AAACGATCTCGTTATGCAGATCAATTTCGATTTCACTTTCGTATTTCGCAACTTTTCAGACGTCAAATGTAGAGAATAGATCGCCCTCTCGTCACAGCAGTCACGACTCTTATGAAATGACACCTGATAAAAAGTACAATCCTGCAACCGAGAATGACTACAATATTCACGATCTTTCAAGTGGAGATGAGACCGACCAAGAGGTGAAGAGGCATGATAAGTGCATTATCTTTGTCTAAAGAATGTGTAAATCTTGTTTGGTGTTAGGATGCTCCACGAAAGAAGGTGCCAGCTTGGGCGGAAGGAACTCAATTGAAGCGTGCATTGGAGAAAATTAATAAAGATATTTACTCGGGCTTGTTTGATCCTAATAAGTACTTTGGAGAGATTGAAGCGGTGAGTGATTTCTTTTCCAAATCTGTTTTTTCTGATGGTTGTCGGCTTGAAGTATCTTTTTTCGTTAATACTAAGAACGATACTTAAAGTAAACATTCGGAAAGTCAATACTTTCATTTTTTATATGGGGTTGAAGGTTTTTGACTCCCAGGATTACACTGAAATTGGAGTGGTTGACTGGGATAATTTTTTCCCTCATCCATGAAAGCTCAGTTCAGTGAACTTTGGAAAATAACAGCCATGTACTTTTGGTAATGTTTCATAGTATCGTTCCTGATGTGAGAGTAATAGAAAGCTGCATAAATCTGAATGCTTAGCTTTAAAATTCTTATCAAGCGCTCGAATCTCAGTCATCATAATGAGTCAATTAGGGTACTTCACTCTTTGTCTTTTCATAGTTTTTTGTTCCAGCCTGACCTTGCTGTGATCTTCGGAAACAAAAAGCGTTATCCTCGACGAGGTTCGTCCGGTATATGGGAGTCTCCCATAAGCAAGCCACGTCAAGGCGTTGGCGCATATCAGATTAGGTTGAACAAGAAATAATGAGCTTTATTCACACTTTCACGCTTTGTTAGCGAAAATTCTTCTCACTTCTTGTCACTTGTTGTTTATACTTATATTATGATATGGGCATCATTTATTGATTTAAGGTTTGGCTATGAACATATTTATCTGGTGTATGTGTAATGTACATTTCCGTGTTGTTCATCACCTCTACCAAATATGGTTGATTTTGTTTTTTCCTTCTAAGGAGATGTCACTCAGAGTTGAATATGAATGAGGCGAAAGCACCTCCGAAGTTTGTTCCAAAACCCACAGGAGTGTCTCGTTTTTCCCACAGGTAAGGACGCTGTTAGATTTACATCAAAAAAGATGACTGCCTTCTTTAGTGTTATATTGCTAATTTGTCTTCTCATTTTTTTTTGTCCGCGCAAATTTCCTACTTTGGGTTTCCACTTTGTGGACCAGAGTGCTCAATACGAATAATCAACCGTGAATATGAAATTGTCAAATATTTTTTGTATCCTTTTTGAACTAAGATAAGCGTTAGCGGCACGATTTAAAAAATTTCGTTTCCTATACATTGCTTTTGAGGGAATCAGAACGGGT